CTATAGAAAATGTCATAATAGGTGCATCCAATCCAATTCTTAAGGTATGATTATGATAGCATTTCCGTCACAAGACGAAGCCTAGTTGTTTATACATGGAAGCAGAATCTTTGGACGTCGTTTTCTCTGACTTCAAGACGTCCGATTAAATTGAAAAATTTGCAAACGCGTCATATAACTTAATACATTACCTAGATTAAGTTCAAACTTATATTAGTGCTAAGAGTTCTGGATCATGAGTAATTGAATCGAGCGCGTTCGTATGTCTTACGTTATTCCTTCTGAATTATTACGTAATGACGTTTTCAACTTTGCCCCGACTGAGTTCATATTTATCGAAATTAATGAACTTGGATTATGATTGCCGACATTAATGTTTTATGGTTTCGTAACGAAATGGAACTTTTTAGTGGTGGTAAGACCTCTTGTGAGTCCGCACGGGTAGGTACCACCACCCTATTTCTGCCGCGAAAAAGTAATGCGTTTCGGTTTGAAGGGTGGGACAGCCGTTGTAACTATACCGAGACCTTAGAACTTATATCTCAGGGTGGGTGGCGCATTTACGTTGTAGTTTTCTATGGGCTCCAGTAACCACTTAACGCCAGGTGGGCTGTGAGCTCGTCCACTCATCTAAGCAATAAATAAAAATAAAAAACTTACCATTAGTTTCTATTTATTAACATCTACCCTTAAGTTAATACAATTTCTATGCGTTTTAATATGCGTCAAGACCTATATTTTGTAATGGTCTACTCTCTGGCAAGGATTAGCCTATCCCGGCTCTAACTATCGTGCAAGGTGTGCTTTGCATAAGGGCGCAGCGGCGTTAGGGGCCACTGCCCTTTTTTTTTCTTACTGCTAATAACCTTGAGGTCTCAATTTGGAGATTTTGATAACAGTAGCCCTAGCAAGAGCAGTGGTTCGTTGAATCTACCACCGCATCGGAATCGCGACCGACTGAGAAGATCCGGTGAAAAACTCAGTGGGCTGTGGACGAACCCGATCTGATATGTAAATACATACAAATAATCGGGACCAAATCAAATTTGACCATCTAGATCTAATTTACGATTCCCCGCACTATGAACACCAGATAATGATATAATAAACACATTTATGCGTTCATGTAAAGAATTAAAACGTGCACAAAGAACAAACCGAACTATACGCCACTGATGTCTGACTTATGAGAATCGAACCCACAACACTCGGTCTAGTATTCAAGAGCGCTTATAGTCACTGCGTCACTGAGTTAGACAATAATCAATCTGTGTTCATTAACTAATAAACTAAATAACAAATCATGCAGGGAATTTAAGGTTTCGTGGGACGCGGTGTTGAAGTTTGTATGTGTAAGTAATGGCAGACAACACTTGTCACATGTAAAGTAACAGTTTTCGAATATTGGAATGCTTATTTAAATGCCTTAAAGAGATGATGTTGAAAGAGAACTTCAGTGATGACTTTACTTTTCATCTAGACACGGACAGTGCAACATCTTAGGGTTTTATAAATATGTATGTAATAGTGTACAAAGTGTTTGCAATATTTACGATCTACGATCGATGATTTAAGCCATGAAGCAGTGTTTTTAAAATAGCCCCTTACCTCCAGAGTCCAGTCCCCTCAAATAGAACCGTCCAACACGCGGAGAGCGTCCGCCAACTATCGCCTCTTTAGATTTCGTGACAGCGAAATATGAACTAGCTTATTACATTGGACTCGCTTTGCCAGACGATTTTTTATTTAATGTTATCGCTACCAAACATCTCAGCATCAGACGCTGGGACAATTTGAAGATTTCTTGAAAAATAACCGAAATTAGTCTTTTAGTTTCGGAATCGATAGGAAACATAAATACTGGTGGTAGGACCTATTGTGAGTCCGCACGGGTAAGTACCACCACCCTGCCTATTTCTGCCGTCAAACAGTAATGCGTTTCGGTTTGTAGGGTGGGGCAGCCGTTGTAACTATACTTGAGATCTTAGAACTTATATCTCAAGGTGGGTGGCGCATTTACGTTGTAGTTTTCTATGGGCTCCAGTAACCACTTAACACCAGGTGGGCTGTGAGCTCGTAAATGCGCCACCCAATTTGAGATATTAGTTCTAAGGCCTCAGTTACAACGGCTGCCCCGCCCTTCAAACCGAAACGCATTACTGCTTCACGGCAGAAATAGACGAGGTGGTGGTACCTACCCGTGCGGACTCACAAGAGGTCCTACCATCACTAAAATCGGTTGTCCGTTTTTAGCTTAGCAAATTAATATTTTGTGAACGTACATTCAGGGAATTCTCATTATATTAAACAAGCACTATTTCAAAATTTACTTTAATCTAGTAATAGGATATGACAATCTAACGATCTGCTATGCGATTAAGATCGTATTATCAAATACTTTAGTTAGAAAGAGAAACTCGTCTCCAATCAGGCTATCTTGTAGGCATCTTTCGAAGCAAAAATTATTGCATACAAACTCAACCATTGTTGATTAGACTTTAAAAATAGAGCTTACAAATGAATTTCGACCTAAGACCAGCTTTTTAAGGTGCAAATTTCATTTCATTTTTCACGTCTCACCTTTCGCATAGATAAGAATTATTGGATGCCAATCGAATTTAGTGATGCGCTGTATTTCATTGTCATACTGATTTCAAGAAAGCTGATCTGATACAATGCCATTGCCATGAAGACGATCAATGATTTTACTTGATTGAAAATAATCTAATACAAAATATGTAGAAGAAATAAAAATCTATTTACTGTTTTAAAATTATATTTAAATTTATAATTTATTATATTTTTTAATGAAAATCAAAAGCACACTAACAATTGGATAGTCGAAATATGTCAATGATTGAATCGAATTATAATTAAAAAACATTTCAAATTGATAGCCGGTCTGAAATGAGTTGTAAGCAAAGCAGACAGACACGAAAGGATTGGCGCAAATCGGATATCAATAATAGGAAATCATAATTGCGGTTCCGAATCTTTTTTTGTTTATTTATGCGTTATTACTTTTGTCCCGGTTGCCTTTCCAGTTGCACCAGGACAAGTGGGCTAGCAGAGGCTCAGCCAGGAGGGGTGGGATTTGCTAACAGCTGTCCGAGCGCCTCCAAAGGAGACCTAACAACTCAAGAGCAGCTGCTTCGCGAGTGAATCTACTATCGTATCGGAATCGCGACCCGTTGAGAAGATCCGGCGAGAAGCTCAGCAGCCTGATGCTTAGGTTAGGGATTCCGAATCCATGATAGACTATGGCTATAAGCAATATCGATTTATGAGTTGTATATCGAGATAAACGTAAATACATCTACTTATGCTGATTGAGTTTAAATAGTTTAGAATCGCTGATTTCTGAAAACGAATTAAACGCAGTTTTCCCTTCTTTTTTCAAAAAATTAAAATGTGACCAGCTTCATAACTACATTTCGTTTATATGAACTTCGAATAAAATAGTTATAAATATGTACCTATAACTTTAATTTATTGTAATATTTCCCAAACAATAGATGTATTTTAATTTATATCCACATATAAAATCTCACGTCGATCGTTCGTTATATATTAAATGAGTCGACTATTATCAAAGCCGGCAATCTGACTTTTGGACAATTATTGGTAAATCAGAAAAACGAATTATTGACTTTGTATTCCATTGGCAGTCACAAAACTCTTCGGAACGACGTCTTAGATAAATAACAGGTTAACTATTAACCTTTATTTAATGCAGGTTTTGAACCGTATTCTTTGAAGCAGACGATTATATTCAAATCAATCTGTATTGACATATCAATAACATTTTTTTGTCCAAATGCACAGATTGCCACCTTTGATAATAGACGACTCAAATATGCAATCACGATCATCAGTCCTTAGAATTGTAACTTAATAATAAAAGGTCATACAGTTACATTGGAATGGCGCCAAAAGACAAATAACATTTTTCTTAAGCAGTTCTTTTTAATATACATTTTCCAAATAATGAACATTAAAATGAAGACGTCGTGGCCTAAAGGATAAGATGCACGGTGCATTCGTATCAAACGATGCACCGGTGTTCGAATCCCGCAGGCGGATACCAATATTTCTAATGAAATACGTACTTAACAAATGTTCACGATTGACTTCCACGGTGAAGAAATAGCATCGTGTAATAAAAATCAAACCCACCAAATTATAATGTGCGGGATTACTGGTGGTAGGATGTCTTGTGAGTCCGCACGGGTAGGTACCACCACTCAGCCCATTTCTGCCGTGACGCAGTAATGAGTTTCGGTTTGATGGATGGTACAGAAATTATACTGTAAATACTGAGACTTAGAATCGATGTCTCGAGTTCTCGGGCCCATAGACATCTACAACGTAAATGCCGCCACCCACCCAGAGGTATTAGTTCTAAGGTCTCAGTGTAGTTACCACGGCTGCCCCACTCTTCAAACCGAAACGTATTACTGCTTCACGGCAAGAATAGGCAGGGTGCTGGTACCTACGCATGCGGGCTCTCAAGACGTCTTACCACCAGTGAGAACAGCCTGGGGAATTAATAAATAAAAAGGCAGTAAACTCTAGGTACACGATATGTCCTACCACCAGAAAAAGCAGTTTGGCGATCGCACATCTATTTTATATAATTGGGAAATAAATAGCACACACAATATAGGTATCATAATCAAATGAAATCTTACCCTACATATTGAATGTGAGATTATGAAATTGTATGAAGTAATAGTATTTTAAATTTTAATTTAAAGGCAAAATTGAAACGTGACTGAACAATTAACTTCAAGTAAATTCCAAAGGAAAACAGCACGAGTTACATATATTTACTTTACGACTTCGTTTCAGTCACAAACAATTAAGTTTTCGATATTCGCAGCCTTCGTTGGAAGCTCTCGACCGCAGGCGAGTGACCTACACGGCGTAGGATTTTTCGCGCATCCCTTCGAGCCGTGGTAGACAATAAAAGCGAGTGCTCTGGCAATACCGCACAGTTCGCGCCTAAACGTTAGCGCTGCGTACGCACGGTGAGTTTTCAGTACCGTAACACACTATCAACGTAAAAAGTGGACGTTGCATTCGAAATAAGGCTTACAGTGTTGTGATTTCAGTGTCTTTGCTTTATTAATTTTTTTTAATAATTAATACCATTTATGGAATGTTTAGTCGTTTTAAATAAGGTTGCATTTTGAAATTCAGGAAAAAAGACGCTCAATAGTTTATGGGTCGTGAATTATTTTACAAATTTTTTTTTTTTTAATTACTGCTTTTAGCATCGCAACGTTTTTTTTTTTAATTGTGGGCGTGTTGGCTATTCTAATCGAATCAGTATAGCAGAGTAAGAACGTCTGCCCACTGAGTTTCTCCCTGGATCTTCTTGGTGGGTCGCGATTCCGATTCGGTGGTAGATTCTGCGAAGAACTGCTCTTACTAGGACTAGTGTTAGCAAATTCACTCAGGTTGAGCTCGTGAGCTCACCTACCCGTCCGGGGGAAGCTGTAATTGCCCCTTAGGCTACCAGCGAATAGGTAGGAACAAAGAAGAAGAACGCACCATCCACGAGCTAGGACGTTTTCTATGCCACATTATTTTAACAATCTAGGACCTCAATATGGGATCTTCATATCGTGATGCCCCTAGGCTGCGGCAACTATTAACACGTTCAAAGCGGACAATATGTTGTAATTAGAACATTTTAGATACGGTATTCGTCTCTTATATTAAATCAATGTTGTGTTTAATTTGTATGATATGCGATAAATACTCTACATGTTGAATAGGTATAAAAGTCAGCCGCGGTTGAAATTTTTTTTGTCAATGCTATAAAAAAGACAAACCACACGTCGGTTATTTTAATATGCAGCCAATCAAAATTAAGTTTTCAATCAATCGTCTTTAAAAATCAAACTACGCCCTCCGCATGACAGAGTCGTCCAAGTCTTTCTTAGCCCACCGCAAGGGAGATACATACGTACGAGGCATATCAGACCTTGTTACGCACTTAACGTTAACCTGGCCAAGTGAACAAATACCTGAGCTCACTGCGAATTTCAAATCACACAATCTTAACTACGTATTTCGATGTTAATAATGACATTATATGGTATTCATACAAAACATACGTACATACCTACGTAGTCTTTTTTTTTTAAATAAACCACAACAACAATTACCAGCTAATTTTCTCATACAATAAAAGGTTACATACTTTTCACATTACCTACAGCATTTTTCCCGGACTAATCTTTGACAATGCAAGCTTTTTGCATACGGTAATAACAATTGTAGCGATTTGTGCCGAATGTGCACGTGAATTATTTCTTTTTCATTTTAATTGTAGTTTGGGAATGTCGTAGTTTCCGTTTGAACGTGTTCAGACAAGACTAGGTGTGTGCATATTGTGTAGAAAATCGGTAATCGACACGGAAATACTTGACTGAATAGAGACAGCCAGCTGAGACAGAATTAGAAGATCTTCCGCCGAGCGGGTGTAATTGCTCGGTAGACTGACGATCCGAATGTTGTCGTTCGGAACATGTATATATGCTAGCTTATCTTGAAAATGTCGTAAGCGAGATTCAGGCATCTCTCAAATATCTTGTGTTATATGATGGCTGCCCGCCACAATGGAAAACGAAACATCGTAAATACGTATACAGGGTGTTTATGGATCGTTTGGAAAATGAAACGATCTTATACTATCTACCAACGGAAAACATTGTTAGTAATAAATTTTAACGATAGACTACTGAGATAGAATTAGATTTATGGAAAACGAAGCGTCGTAAATATACAGACAGAGTGCTTAGAGATTGCTTGGAAGACGAAACGATCGCTTCTACCCAACTTCAATGGAAAAAAAAATTCAATAATTAATCTCAATAAATTTCGTAAACGCGCAATGTAAAGCAAATATAGTAGACGCTACTCGCTTTTTTTTTTGGATTAATTAGACCTGTGCACACCCCCACACTATTTGAAGTGGTTACGGTAAGCTATAGACATCAAAACCGGAATGACGCCACCTATCTTGAGACATGAGGCTGAAGCATAATATGTATAAAAAAATGGCTACCCCACCGTTCACTACGGAACGTAGGATTGCTTTGCAGCCGAAATAGGCAAATGGTGGACCCTACCCGTGCGAGTTTATAGTCCATCTTACGATTCCCATAAAACTGTACACGTCCATATTATTAATATATTAAAAACCTTTTTAACGTTTGTTAAAAATTATTAAATCAAATGTAAACTTTGTAGTTATGCATATAATTGAAATGAAATGAAATGAAAATAAGAAAAGTTTTTATGTAACAGTATTTATGGCCAGACTAGTTATTAATCATAAAATATGCGGGCGAAAGTGTTTGTGAACTTTTATATCCTCGTTGTAAAATTCATAAAATCATAGAGGGCACAAAATAATATCTTTTTTTATTGCTCAAATGCCAGAATGCCAAACGCTAGAAATAGGCAGGGTGGGGGTACCTACCCGTGTCGGTTCTCAATACCCCTTACCACCAAATTATGTGTATTTATTTGTACCTATGTATATGTCAAACACATAATTCGTCCATACCAAATTCTTTAATGCAACATCAATTATTTTAAATCGATAAATATTTGTGGATGTTCTCTAATTAATTTTCGACAAAATTTTAATTTGAAATACATATTAAATATTAAATTAATATGATATAAGTTCAATTGTCTACATTTATCTAAACAAAGACTCCGTACAATTACATACTATTCTCTTCTGTTTGCCAACCTTTTGTATTGTTCCTTTTTAACTATTCACGGGCTTTATTTAGAGTTGCAATCATTTTTGTTAGTAACAAGACTGTTTTCGGAATATCAATATCAAAAAGGAAAGCGGAATATTTTTCCAGCGCATTCCCAACCTAGTAGTTGTTCCTAACTTTCAATGCAAATAAAACGCATTACTGGTCGCAGCAGAAAATATGCCGGATGGTATTAGCCACCCGTACGGGGGTTTAAATACCACTCGCCTCAAGAACCATTTGAGAGTCATGCGTATAAACAGACGTAGAGTAAGATTTACCTACGGAACCTTAAGTACGTCTCGAATTCAATGAACGATTATGATTTGAAATTCGTAAAAAGAATAACCCGGTGAGTTTCTCGCCGGATCTTCTAGGCGGGTCGCGATTCCGATCCGGTGCTAGATTCTACTAAGCACGGCTAATTCTGACACGTTGAGCCCGTGAGCTCACTTACCCGTCCAAGCGTAGTTGGAATAACTCCGTAAACTACCAGCGATTACTGGTGGTAGGACCTCTTGTGAGTCCGCACGGGTAGGTACCACCGCCCCGCCTATTTCTGCCGTGAAGCAGTAATGCGTTTCGGTTTGAAGGGTGGGGCAGCCGTTGTGACTATACTGAGACCTTAGAACTATATCTCAAGGTGTGTGGCGCATTTACGTTGTAGATGTCTATGGGCTCCAGTAACCACTTAACACCAGGTGGGCTGTGAGCTCGTCCACACATCTAAGCAATAAAAAAAAAAAATAAAAAGATTAGGTAGTGAAAAACAAAAAGCTCATTACAATCACTAAAGAGCCATCAAAACACAGTGCATTCCTTACATCTGCGTAGCGCAAAATCATTATAAATAAATCGGCGTACCGCCCGGGGTTAGCATGTAACCGACCCTTAATGATAGTGGCGTGACTTGCGTGTGATCGGGGGGCTGTTTTGCAACAATCATTAGAGACGTTACATTGTTAAACGCGTTGTAGCTGATATTGGCTGCTCAGTAAATGATTCGTTTGCGTATCGACGCAGCATCGATAAACTATGCATCTGTTATTTAAAGTGCATGCCAGCAATACAATAAAAATATGAAAAGGACGTAAATGGATTCAATAAGCGGCTCGAGAGGTCTACA